GTCGGAGGACGGGTGCGCGGCGCTCGAGCCAGGCGGCGGAAGAGGAGGTGCGGGACGCTCCCGCGGGCCCCGATGTGGGCGCCGGGGGAGACGCGCCGGCCCCTGTTCGGCACAAGGAGAGAGACGCTGCCCCGGGCGGCAGCCCCGGCGATCTGAGGTAACGACAGCGTGACCCCGCGCTCCGACCTCCGCCCGGCGTCCGTGCTCCGCGATCCCCCTCGGCCGGAGAGGCGCGGGCAGCGCGCTCCTCATGTTCGAGAACCTGACCCCGCCTTTGCGTGGCGGGCGTGCCTCTCGGGTCTTCGCGAGGAAACTGAGGCCCAAGGGACGGCGACCTGCCAAGGTCACGCCGGTGGGGTCGCGGAGTGGAGGCGGCCGCGGCCCGAGTGCGCATCCGCGGGTGTGCGGGCCTGCGGGCCGGCGTCCTGGGCTGGGGTCTTCGGGCGGCCGGGGGTCCTGGGCCGGGGTCCTGGGCGGACGTCCTGGGCCGGGGTCCTGGGGCGGCCGGGGGTCTTCGGGCGGCCGGGGGTCCTGGGCCGGGGTCCTGGGCGGACGTCCTGGGGCGGGCGGGGGTCCTGGGCCGGGGTCCTGGGGCGGCCGGGGGTTTTCGGGCGGGCGGGGATCCTGGGCCGGGGTCCTGGGCCGGGGTCCTGGGGCGGGCCGGGGGTCGCGCGGGGAGGGTACCTTTCCCTGACTCGGACACCCGCGCGATGCAGGCCGGCGGTCCTGCTGCGGGACAGGGGCGGGCTGGGCTGTCCAGGGGTCCCCTGCGCTGTGGTCCAGCAGAGGGGCAGGGGTGGGCAGCCCCCACGTGGGCGGCCAGGACTAGGGTCACGAGGTGCATGGTCGCCTCCAGGCTGGCCCCTGGCCTGGCCCCTCTCCGGCCGGCCCCTCGGGGCTTGGGGAGCCGCTGGAGGATCGGGGTTCTCGGGGAGGAAGCGGGGATTGGTCAATCGGCTGGCACAGCCGCGTAGTGAGTAAGACGGAGGCTTTCTCCATCGGCCACTGTGGGCGGGGCCGGGGGCACACCCTGGGACGGGGGCAAGTTCTGCCCCTGCCCTGGGGGTGCTCACAGTGCACCCCGAGATAAGATAGCCCTGTAGCGGGAGCAAAGGTCAGGGGCGGCCCCATGGGGCGGAGGCCAGTCTGCGGAGGGGCGTCCCTTCCCTGGAGTGGAGCTGGGGGTCCTGAGGGGCTGGCTTGTCACGGTCCACCTGGAACGGCTTCCTGGCTTTCAACTGCTGCCCGTGCTCTGTCCAGGAGGCAGAGCGTGACCACTGGCAAGGCTGAGAATGAGAGCCCTTCTGTGAACTGGGGTCCCGCTGTGGACAGAGCTGACCCTGGAGAGGCAGGCAGAGGATCCACTGTCAGCCCCCGCTGCTTCTGTGCTCCTTCTGCTGGCGGGAGTTGAGAGGGCCCTGGGGGACTGTCCAGAACAGGCCGGCAGGTTCCCCAAACTGGCCTTCAAGTCTCTTCCAGGCTGTCCTCCTGGGCATGGCCAGGCCAATCCCTTCCTGTCACTTTTGTCATGCCTGTCCCCCTTCCCCCTTCCTCTTGACTTCCTGTTCACCTGCTCACCTGGGGCCGAATAGGTGTGTAGTTGCCTTTCCTGTTCCTGTGGGAGGGCGGGGAGGTGGTGGGCTGAACACCTGGGCCCACTCTTCCCAGGTCCTCTGTACCATTCCCAGTGCTCAGGAACTTTTCATGGTCTCCAGACAGGGCCTTCTGGGATGTGTCCCTCTAGTAAGGAGGAAGTGCCCAGGAGCCAGCTGCTGGGAGGGAGGCCCTTCCTGTGACCACATTTAGGGCCAGCATGGAAGCTTTGTGTGCCCTGGTGAGCTGGGGGACAGTTCTGTGTCCCCACAGTGTTGATGTGGGTCAGGTGAAATGGAGGGGCCTATGGCGGCCTGGAAGGCTGTTGGGCTCTGGGTCAGTTTTTTTGGCAGGCCAGGTCCTGGAGGAAGGGTAGGGGACACTGGCAGGCCCTCCAGTGTGAGTGAAAGGGTGGCAGCAGTGGCTCTGGTACGCTGGCCAGATCCAGCTACCTTGTGCTGCCATCCTCTCCTGCCCTCTGTTCCACTGTACTTGGTCACACGACAGAGCTAGGCCGCTGTGGATCCAGTGGGGTGGGTGTCCTCCTGGACAGATTGCCGGTCCACCTCCACGTCTTAACGGAGGGCAGTCTAGTGGTTCTCAAGAGAGGGAAAAACCTGAGATAGCTTTTACATTGATGTCAGTTATCTGTTACCTTCAAAACTGTTGAAGATAAAGCTGTAATGGCCTAGAGGCCAGGGTCCACTGCTTATGATGAATTCTTTGCATGTGCAAGCTGGTCTGAGACTTTGGGTTAGTTCTGGTGCAGACTAGGGCTTGGATGGGGCTGCAGGGACCTGGTGCCAGTAAAAGATAAGGGGCAGCTGGAGAGACCTATGTCAGGTCTAAGGTTGACTGTGCACACCAGCCCTCGATGGGCAGGTGCCGATCCTGCATATAGCAGGCAAGACGCCCAGGTGATCTCCCCCTCTGGACAGGACATGTTAAGGGGCAGTGAGTGGTACGTTGGAGATGCGTCTCCAGACCTGGGAAAGGAAAGGTTCAGGGTGGGCCAAGTCTTATCCAGGTAGATCTTAAAACTCACTGCTTAGCTTAGGATACACCTGGGCACAGAGCTGAAGGGTTGTGGAGGGTCTGGAGCTTGGAGAGGTGCTTGCCAGCACTTGGTCCTGTGATGCTGGACTGGGGGCCTGGCAGGGTGTCAGACCTTGATCCAGGGAAGGCAGAGGTTAGCCTGCTGTCACTGCCCTGGTACTTGCTTGGGGAGCAGTCCCTCCTGGGCCTGCACTCACCTGCCTCTGATGCTTCCCCTACACTCCTATCCTTTGCCCCCAAAGGGCCTGGATTGAGCCTACCCCCTGCTTTCATCCAAGAGGAAGGGCCCTGTCCTCTCCTCTTACAAAACTGGAAGAGGCCTTGCTCAATGCCACGGTGGGGTTCACTCAGGGTTTCCTGGGGAGAAGTGGCTATGTGCTAGAGGCACTGGAGGCCCAGCTGGGGTCTGCTGTATACCCTGCACTCTTCCTCCTCCCAGAAGGAACGGGCACCAGAGGGTCTGCAGGGCCCTGAGCTGATCCTTGTTGGGGGCCTGAAGGGAGCCCTTGGCCTGAGTCTCGGCCCTGGGTACACAGATGGGGGCTGGGCTCAGCCTCCAGGGGGTGTTCTTAGCCCCAGAGGCACATAGCAGTAACCCCTTGGTTGAACAGGGCCAGGCTGTGAGTTTTCAAAAACAGCTTGAGCAAAACAAGGGGCTACAGGCCAGAGCTCAAGGCCACCCCCCCCCCCCGGGAGATACTCTTCAGCCAGGGCTTGGGTGGTGCCCAGCCAGGGCAAAGGGTTCCAAGGGGTGCTCTGGAAGGATGGAAGCTCAGTGTCCCTTCCCTTGTGACTCCAGTGCATCATGCTGCCGGGAATCTGGAGGAATGTCCACCTCGAGAAGTCTGAGCCTTGTCCTCCCACAGCCTATGGACAGGCCTATGCGTAGACAGGTGGCCACCTTCTTGTGTGCGACATCTCCTTGCTCCAGTTGTAGCTGAGCCCTTGGCCCTCAATATGAGGCAGCTAGGGTGGGCGTGTGGGTCAAGACAACAGAGGGGCTGGACCTACCTTATTCCAGCTGAATCTTCCAGCTCCTTCCAGGAAATCGCTGGGCTTTGGGGTGGTGGAGGTGCTTCGGCCCTGGCCTTGTGCCCTGTGAAGTGGCTCTGTGCCTGGGGTGGCCTACAGGGCTTGTGTGGCTGGCTGCTGGCTCTTGACGGGTGTCCTGTCTCCTCCCCTGCCAGCTGCCACCGCCTGCAGGAGTCCTTGTTCAGCTCTGACAGTGGCTTTAGCAACTACCGTGGCGTCCTGAACTGGTGTGTGGTGATGCTGGTAAGCAGAGCCGCCCAGCCTTGTGCTGGAGGAGGACAGTGCTGTCCCTATAGCAGCCTCATGCAGGCTATGTGGGCTGACGCTCGGCATACTTTTCCTAAGGTTGGACTGTCAGAGGGGGGTGGGTACTGGGACTCGAAGGGTTTGTGTTTTGAGCTGGACCTGTGGAATCCTCTGGGGAACTTAGTTTATGGGAAGGGCCTGGATGCATGCAGATGGATAGGCTGACTGATGGGTAGCAGGTGCCATGGTCTGGGGTGGTGTAACTATGGAAGGGGCACATGGTGTGGATAAGGCATCTCTTACAGAGCACCCAAGATGTGTCAGCTAGGGGAGAGCTGGATTAGGATGATGTTCACAGTTCTGCTCTGCCCACCCCCACCTGAGTCCAGGAAGCACCCCAGAAAGCAGAGTAGACAGAGCCCCCCCTCACCCTGTAGTCTGCGCACTGTACTCTCTTAGCTTAGGTTGGCCCTTGGAGGGGCTGGACCAGGCTGCCTGCCCGGAGACATTGTGGCTGTGAGAGCTGGGGCAGCTCTTTCCGTGCCTGTGGCCCCAACCTTTGCCTAGTTTTCTCATGTTCACTGTAGTGGGGTACCTGTTGCTATCCACAGGGAACAGCCTCTACACGTCCCACCTAGGCCTTGAGGTGGATGCTCCCACTGGAAATCCAGCTCCCATCCATTGTGGGTCTGGCTTTGTTAGGTGGGCACTGCCTGGTGGGGCCTTGAGGGTGCCTGTTGGCAGCTGTTGACTCTAGATCTTGTTATGATGCTCTCTTTGAGCCCCCAGGGAGGCCACCTCCAAGTGCTCCGTTGTAAGCTCTGTCTGCCACAGTACCCACTGAGGCCTCTGCTTTGGGATATTGGGGACTCAAGAGATGACAGGTGCTTGTGGGTCATGAGGAGACCAGCAGTCCTAGCTAGCCCCAGGCTGGAATCAGGCTCCACTTTGGATGGAAGACTCAGGTCTTCCATCTGCGTCAGGCAGGCCAGGGACCTGGGAGTGGGTGATGCTGTCACAGTTGAGGGCAAGACATTTTCCCAGTGAAATGTCCCATAGTCCCTCCAGTACCTGTCTCTTGGGGGTGAAGACAGGCCCCATGCTGTCCCACATCTCTGCAGCTGGCTCTAAGCAAGGGAAGACCCCTTTCCACTCTTCAGCTTAGCCCACTGGAGGGCCTTGTCCTTTAGTGCTGGGCCTTCTCCTGTGGGTTTAGGGGGAACACTCAGCAGTGCTGGGCAGGTAGGGCTCCGAGTCAGCGCTTGGCTGCCTCAGCTGGGCCTTTCTGTCCTTGGGCAGTGACAGTGACCTCTGCTTGTCTGGGCACTGCCCTGGGAGAGGGTGGCCAGCTCGCAAGGGTTCCTTGTGCAGGACTTGGCAGCACCACCCTGTCCCTGTCCTGTGCCGCCAGGTATGGGAGCACAGGCGCAGGTATCCTGGCAGGCAGGTGGTCTGTGACCTCCGTCCACTCTCTCCCACAGGTCTTGAGCAATGCACGCTTGTTTCTAGAGAACCTCATCAAGTGAGTGTGCCCAGTCCTCCCGTGTGGCTTTGCCCTGGGCAGGCCCCTCCTCCTGCAGCTGTGCCTACACTCAGGCCCCTCCCTCCACCTGTCCCCTTAGGTACGGCATCCTGGTGGACCCCATCCAGGTGGTGTCTCTGTTCCTGAAGGACCCCTACAGCTGGCCCGCCCTGTGCCTGGTCATTGGTGAGCTGGGCCCCTGGGTCGGGGCAGGGGTGAGAATGCTTGAATACTCTGGCCCTGCCCCTGACCCTGGGGTGGTGCTTCTGTCCCCAGGGGCCAACACCTTTGCTCTGGTCGGGTTCCAGATTGAAAAGAGGCTGGCAGTGGTAAGCAGTGCCCCTGCCCACCTGCTGGGGTTCCCATCTCCTGTCTGGGGATTTGCCAGTGTGTGGGGAGGCCCCCAGGACACAGTGCCCACTGTTCGTGTCGGCCACTCCTGGCGCAGGGAACGCTGACGGAGCAGGCCGGGCTGCTGCTGCACACTGCCAATTTGACCACCATCCTCTGCCTGCCTGCGGCGGTGGCCTTCCTGGTGGACTCCATCACCCCAGGTGCGCCCCTGTCCCGAGGATGGGCCCGTCCCGAGGCTGGGCGCAGGCGGGTCTGGGGCAGGCAGTGTGCCAGTGGCCTCTCTCCATAGTGGGCTCCGTGCTGGCGCTGGTGGTCTACACCATCCTCTTCCTCAAGCTCTTCTCCTACCGCGACGTCAACCTGTGGTGCCGTGAGCTCAGGGCCAAGGCCACAGCTGGTGAGGGGCGAGCAGGGGTGGGGGCACGCGTGGCCAAGCCCACCTCGGAGGCCCCGCTGGAGGCCTGCGTGGACACGAAGGCCAATGGGGCCGCTGCACAGCATTTAGTGACCTATCCTGACAACCTAACCTACAGAGGTGAGCAGAGGGGACCTGGGCTGGGCTGGCACCTGGAGACCTGAAGGAGAAGGTGAGGGTGGGTGGGAGGTGGGCGCCGACCCGAGGAGCAGGTGCCAGCAACCAGCACCCGCCTGGCTATCCCTTTCAGATCTGTACTACTTCCTCTTTGCCCCCACCCTGTGTTATGAGCTCAACTTTCCCCGCTCGCCCCGGATCCGGAAGCGCTTCCTGCTGCGTCGGCTCCTAGAATTGGTGAGGGTCTGGAGGCCATGGGGGGTGGGCATGGAGACGCTTTGCACTCAGTGGCTCAGCTTGCCCCTCTGCTTTTCTCCAGCTGTTCCTCACGCAGCTCCAGGTGGGGCTGATCCAACAGGTAGGGCCCTGGGGTGGGGGGCTGGGGTAGATGGGTGGGATGGGTGGGGCTGCAGGCTGACACCTCGCTCCTCTTTTACAGTGGATGGTCCCCACCATCCAGAACTCCATGAAGCCATTTAAGGTGAGGTCACAGGCCTGCTGGGGCCGGGCAGTGGGGCTGACCACAGCCACCCAGCTGACCCCTGTCTCCATAGGACATGGATTACTCCCGCATCATCGAGCGCCTCCTGAAGCTGGCGGTGAGTGGCCTTGCTTGCGGGTGGGAGCCAGTGTTGTGCGGGGCATGGCTTCTGGACCCACGGCTCCCTCCCCTACAGGTCCCCAACCATCTCATCTGGCTTATCTTCTTCTACTGGCTCTTCCACTCATGCCTGAATGTGGTGGCTGAGCTCATGAAGTTTGGAGACCGAGAGTTCTACCGGGACTGGTGGTGGGTGGCCCGGGGAACCACTGGGGCAGGGGGTGGGCAGGGGGCAGGCATGGCCCAGTGTGCGTGGGCACTCCCTCCTCTTCTTGTCCCCCAGGAATTCTGAGTCGGTCAGCTACTTTTGGCAGAACTGGAACATCCCCGTCCACAAGTGGTGCCTCAGGTGAGCACACTTCAATGGGGTTTACACGCGTGTGCCGGCATGTTGGGTGTGCATCTCTGCGTGTAAATGCAGGCTTCACTCTGAGGCTGCTTCCATGCAGGCACTTCTACAAGCGCATGCTTCGGTGGGGTGCCAGCAAGTGGATGGCAAGGATGGGAGTATTCCTGGCCTCAGCTTTCTTCCATGAGGTCAGTGCCGGCCAGCTTCCTCCCTTGTCCCCGGTGCTGGGGTCTGCCTTGGGGGATGTGAGGCCTGCTTGACGTCCCTCCTCCCCCACAGTACCTGGTGAGCATCCCCCTGCGCATGTTCCGTCTATGGGCATTCACGGGTATGATGGTTCAGGTGAGCATGATGGTTCAGGTGAGCATCGGTCCCCCAGTGGCTCCGCCCCACTGCTTCCTGGTCTCCACTCATCTGGCTCTGTGGCCCTCAGATCCCGCTGGCCTGGGTCACCAGTCGCTTTATCCTGGGCAACTACGGCAATGCAGTGGTGTGGCTGACACTCATCATTGGGCAGCCAGTAGCTGTGCTCATGTATGTCCACGACTACTATGTGCTCCACCACCGGGAGGCTGCCATGCCAGGGACCTGAGCCTGCAGCGGCCACACTCTACCCACACCCAGTTAGGGTGTGGATGGGGGCTTGCCACGGGCTGGAAGACGACTAACCACAGGCCCAGATGCCCACCACCCTCCTTGCCTGGGAGGCCTCTCTGCCCCTATGGGGCCCCCTCCCCTCAGGGATTGGACTGTCAAGCAGGGGTGCGTGGGTGGGGACACACCCTGCTTTCACAATGATTCCGCCCTGTGGGTGAGGCTGTGTGTCAATAAAAAGTTCTTCGGAGAACTGCTTGGCTTGCTGTGGCTGTGCTGCAGTGGGATGGGCCCAGGGCCCACCCCTACAGGACACAGGGAGGACAGCCAGCAGTCTACCATGCTGCCCCTGCTGGTCCTGGGGTACAGTGTGAGCCACCTGCATGGGCTTCCTGTGTGTGTCTGGAGTGTGGGGCTGGGTAGATATCCCCATGTCACCTCCAATGTGAAGACTCATCCCCAGAGGTAGACCATGGGCTTGCAGACACAGGTGCTGCCTATGCCTCAGTACACTGTCGCTCTGCCTTAGGCAGGACAGTGCAGAAAGGGCCCTTGTGGGAGGCTTGCTCCCAGTGCCTGAACTTGGGGGTAGGGGATGCAGGAATGAACCCAGCCTGGCCCTCATTGGAGGCGAGACCTCAGCCCACAGTGAAGGCTTGCCTGCTGACCTTGGGCCATAGGCAGTGTTGGGGGACCAGGGTGGGGCTCACTGCCTCCCCTTGCCTCAGTGTGGCAGTCTTAGAGGGGAAAAGGCAGGGTGAGGCCTCTGACATGCTGTTGCTGGATTCATGATCTGGTTGGTAACCTCTGACTCTTCCACTGTTTGTTTCTTGTGGGATCAGGGTCACGTATCCCTTCCACTGCCCTTGGCACTGATGGACAGTACTTGCAAACACTCCTAAGACCAGGTGGACAGCTCTTCAGGGCCTCCCTGGGCCCCCAATAAAGACCATGTGCAAATTCTAGGGGACATCTGGAGTTCTGTGTGCAGGCTTCCTCCTCCATGCACATTCCTTGCCCCAGGAGCACACAGACTACAAGGTTGCGAGCAATAGAGCACGTCCGTTTATACATCCACCTGTCCTGCATGTGCACATGTGCGTGCTATCAGTGAATCTCTACAGAAGAGACAATAGGGCTTCTCGTGTTAAAAATCCAAAATACAACTCTGACTTAACGACCAGTAGGGCCAAAATGTGATGGGAAGCCACCACAGACCAGGGGCTCCCGGCCACAAGTGAAGGCACTGGGCTAGGCAGGGCCTGGGACGGCGCCACCTGGATTTGGATGGTTGACCCCTTAGCCAGCTCCACAGCTCTGCCCAGGACTGGGGTCCTCACCCCTTGTCCAGCCCGGGGCTGGGAGTGGGTTGTTCCCCACTTGGGTCCTTGCCCCTTGTCCAGCCCAGGGCTGGGAGCAGTTATTCCCCAACCGGCTCCTGCTGGGGCCTCTAGGAGGTGGTGGCGTCCTTGGCCTTGGGAGGCTCTGACTCCGTCAGCAGGGAGATGGTTGGGTCTTCTGTGCAGTCGTCTCCCTCGGAGAAGTAGGAACCATCCCCCAGCTCAAAGAGCACAGGCAGGTCACTGCCCCCCATGTCCACGGGTCCAGGGTCCACCAGAAACAGGGGTTGTGCTGTGTAGTGCACCAACTGCTTTCCTGCAAAAAGACCTGGGAGTCAAGGGAGGGCGGGCATGGCCAAGTGGGGAGTGCCGCGGGGGAGCCGGGCTTCCTCACCTGAGTCCTGGCTGCTGCCCTCAGCCTCCAGAGGTCTGGGAGGCTCCTGGGGGGTAAGCAGCTCCTGGATCTGCCAGCACAGAAAGGCTACCCGTGAGGACTCCTGCTGCCCCTTGCCCCACCCCCAGTCCCAGCCCTGCCTCCACGCACGCTGGCCAGGCTGCTGTCCAGGTCCGTCAGGCTCATGTCCGGGACAGTCACTGAAGGGCTGAAAAGCTGTAGGAGAAGGGCGGTTAGCAGCTGGGGGGAGTTGGGGGGCCTGGGGTGGGGAGGACAGGGCAGGCACTCACATCCATCAGGGCGCTGGTGTCCACACTGAAGCCATGGCTGCTCAGCATGGTCTGCAGGTTGTCCAGGTTGGAGTCCATGGCGTCCAGGTGGTCACTGAGCTCGTTCCTGGACCAGGTAAGTGGAGGTGCATGAAGTGAGGCCCAAGCCTGGGCCCCCTTAGCCTAGTGACCCAGGCAGGCCCCACTTAGGCAGGCAGGGAGCTCCTTGGGAGCCCCTGCAGTAGCCAGGTCAGGCTTTCTTGAGGACTCAGGCCAGGAAGGGAGGAGGTGGGTGAGGAGCTATTAGGAAGTGGGCTGCAGCCAGCCCCTCCCCTGGGGACACCTGGGCCCCGTGATAGCCCAGTCCCTGGAGCAAAGCCTGACTGTGGGTGCCTGGGTTGGAAGTCCGTGCCTGGCACAACACTGACATGAGCACAGGAGTGGAACTCAGGCCACTCCCTTCAGAGGGCCTAGGATGCCTGCCCACCACCACCTGGGCAGTAGGACAGCAGCTCTGTAGAGCCCTCCCTCTCCTGGGCGGGGTCGGCTAACCCTGGTTGGACTGAGCCACGCAGAGAGGAGAGGCAGGGGTAGAAGCGAGTGGCCCCAGACATCTGTGGAGCGTGGGGCCAACTGCAAGATACAAACACAAGGGCCCTACTGCAGGGTGCTGGGCAACACTGCCAGCCCCAACTGCCAGCTGGAGGCGGGTGGGGCTGGGCCAGCCTGCTCCTCTCCTGCCAGGTCCAGGGGTCAGGCAGCACACAGGGTGAGGACCCAAGGGAAGCCCTGTCTCGGGAGCCTGCCACAGACTCTGCTACCGTCAGGGAGAATGTGCTCAAGTCCACTTCCTCGGTGGGCACAGCCTGGAGGCCAGTGAGGGCCCACTGACACCCGGCAGCCCTATACCCAGAGGCCCTGGACCAGCCTGAGCCTGGGTGAACATCCAGGCTCAGGACATCCTGGTGAGCCACCTCCCTCTATTCTTGGGGGCTAGAGAATGGTGTGGGTGTGGGTCACTCACTTGTCCAGGCAGGCCACGCTGAGGCACTTCTCTGGGGCTGAGGCAGGCAGGGGCGTGGGGTTGTGGTCCCCTTCCTGTGCAGGCTGGGTGGCTGAGGGGGTGGTAGTGGGTTCGCTGTCCCGCAGAATGGAATCGATGAGGGCAGTTGGGGACAGGGGTGTGTCCACCTCAGAGGATGGTGGCCCAGGGCTCACCACCTCTACCTGTGGGCTCTGAGGGGGGCTGGGCGGCTCCTCTTTGACGTGCACCCAAGCACTGCCGGACAGGGGCCTGGACAGCACATGGACAGCTAGGGTAAGAGTCTTTCCAGCCCTAGCCCTACCCAACCCCTGCCCCAGGCAGGATACAGGCTAAGGAAGGAGACAAGACCCCCACCTCTCGTCAATACTTCTGCCAGAGACAGGTGAAGGGCTGACGGGCAAGGGGCCGGCAGGAACCAACTCCGTGATGTCAGAAATGATGGGGCCGGAGCTAGTGTCTGGGGAGAAGACGCTGGAGCCGCTGTAGGCTGGGGATGTGGCCTGCAAGGGAAGCTGCTGGCTGCATGGCCACCTCGTCCTCTGACCACCCTGGTCTGCACCCGCCCCACAGGCTCGCCCGCTGCTCACTGCCAATGGGGCCGCGGTGTGGACGTGCTCCAGTGAGTACTGCCGGCCATACTTGGGCATGGGGTGGGCCGCACCATCGCCCAGCATCAGGGGGCTGTAGAGGAGGGACGACTTAGCAAGGGCCCATGTGGGGCGCCTGTCCTGGGAGAGGGGGCCCTGAGTCTCACATCTTTCTCTTCACCCCCAGGATCCGGTTGGACTGCACCAAGGAGATGAGGAACTGGATGAGCTGTAGGTAGAGAAGACCAGGTTAGCTGGTCACTGGCCACACACCCAACCAGCTGGCCACCCTTGGCTGAGGCGCCCATACCTTGTTGACAACTTTCTGTTGCTGAGCATGCTTCTGCCGCAGGCTGGCCACCTCCCTCCACAAGGCTTCATTTTCACTGCAAGAACAGGGGGTCAGCCAGGACGTGGGCCGGCTTCAAGGCCTCGTGCCTGTCCCCTACACAATGATGGTCTCTAATAGGTCTAGGTGGAAGTTGTTTGGCCTGTTTCCCCTTATGGCATGGCTGCGGGCGGTCCATCTGGGACGGACATCTTGCAAGGGGCCTGCTAGGCACAGGAGGGACTTACGGTAGTCCCCCACCTAGTGATGGCCGAGAATGCTCAGGGCTTCAGGAACAAGGACTAGGTGACCAACCTTGAACTCACTGCGGACCCCAGACCCACCTCCAGGGATGGGGGGAGTAGAGGGACCTACTGCTTCATGGCCAGCAGCTTGGAGTCCATGCTTTCCTGCTTCCCCTTCATCAGCTGCACATCAGTCAGCAGTCTGGTGACACTATCCTGGCGAATCTTTATGTCTTCATTCTTGAGGGTAGACACCTGGGTCCCCGGGGAAGAGAGGCCAGAGTCACAAGGGTAGCCTGCAGCATGGGGTTCTGTGATGGAACAGATTCCTGCTGGGGAGAGGGGAGCAGCAGGGGTGCCTCAGCTCTGTCCAGTTAGGGAAGTGCCCCTCCAGGACCCTCAAAAGAGGGGCAGTCATGGTGCTGGAGGGGCTTCAGCTGTGCCTTCAGCAGCTGAAGGGGAGTAAGGTGGGTCAGGGAGGGGACAGGGTGGCCATGGAGCCTGAACAGGTGGACACTGCCCAGGGCTGGCACGCACACTGGTCACTTTCCTCTTGATGTTGTCCAGAAGCTGCTCCTGGCCACGCAGGAAGCATGGGTGCTGGAACTCAGTGTCGTCCTTCTCAGGCTTGACCAGGCCCCCATGCTCGATGTGAACCACTTTCCGGAAGCCGTCTGCATGTGACAGGGGCGGTTCTGCCTGAAGCCACACACTGACCATGAGGGCCCGCCTGCTGCCAGGAGTGAGGCCCCAGGGACCGGCCTCTGGCAGGAAGCCCACACTCCATCCCTTATAGCAGGTGCCCATTATGCCCCTCACCCCCTTCCTCTCGTCTCCCCACAAGTGTAAACCAAGAGGTCATTAGCCCCCCTCCAAGAGTTTTAACCACAGGAGTCCCCTCCCAAGTGTGAAGAGTGGGAGTCCCACCAATCCCCCTTCAATACTAACAAGCGTGAACCATGGGAATCTCCCCAGTCCCCCTCTTCTGTAAGTGTGAACCGCAAGAGTCCTTCCAGCCCCCCTCCACCATGAGTGTGAATCACGGGAGTCCCCAACCTTCCCCATGGGTATAAACAGTGGCAGCCCTCCCAAGGTCCCCTCCCACCATGAGTGTGGACAATGGGGAAGGGGCAGCACTCACACATGTTGAGCTGCCGCACGAAGCTGGCCATGTTGTTATGCTTGAAGTACTTGGGCAGTACCTCCTTGGCAAACTGGCCCTGGTCCAACACATGGAAACTGTTCCCGTTCTGTTGGGGGAAAAGTGGGGTCACCACCTGACCCCCAAGGGTGGCAGTGGCCACATTCTCACCCTGTGGGGCTACAAGACACTTCATCTCTATCCTCCTGCCTTGCATGCATCCAGCAAAACTCGAGTCCTGCTTGGGGGGGTCCTTGTGGCTGGAGGTTGGGGCCTGAAGTCCCTAGAGCCAGGTGCCTTGACCGACTTGGAGGGCATGCTCTGTGCCCACACTTCAGCACACTTTCCTTTACTCAGTGCGTCTCCCCAGAAATAGAGGTCAAAGCTGAGAGGGTGGTATCAGTGTGGCCACCCTGTGGGTGACTTGACCATACCTGTGGAGGGTTAAGGATGAGGAGGGAGGTGTTCCCAGTATGAACAGGAATGGAGTGCCAGAGACTGCCCCCCTCCCCGTGGAGTCAGGAGAAAGCCCAAACCAACCCTGCTGCCTGGTCAACTCTGACCACCCTGACCCTGGGACAGAGAAGTAGACCGTGTCTTCCAGAAAAGCAACGAGAAAACTGGTAAATACATCAAAGCTCAACTTCTCAGAGCTCTGCAGATTAACCACATGCCTGCAGCTGTCCAAGGGGAGCACAGCAGTGCTGGGGGTGATCTGGAGCCCCATTCCCAACACACTAGTTAGCTCAGTACGAGTTTCCTGCAAATAAAGAGCTGATACACAGAACTAGAAGAAACGATGAAAGTATGCAAATATGGTTCAAAAATACAACAGTTCCAACAGCAGCAGCCAGGGGCGTGCGTTAGGCAGCTGCTCTGGGCTAAGAGTCCCTCACTGCCTGCTGTGAGGAAAGGGTCATCTGGCCAGCCTGGCGCTTCTCCAAAGAGGTGCTCAAGGAGATCCTGAGTGGACCTGACCCAGCAACTTTCCCTGTGCAAAAGCCTTTCTCCAAGGTGTTTGCTGTTACCATTAAGAAGCAATTTTTAAATTTGCAGCTATAGTGGGTAAAAGGGTAGACATTATGCTTACAGAAAGTTTGCAAACAAACAAAACAGCAAAAAACAAGCAAACCACAAACCCACCACAACAAAACTAAAGAAGCAATGGGCTTTGAAAAACTTTAAAATATTCCTGGGGATCCAGACAGCCATCTAGATGAAAAGAGATGTGCTGTGCTCAGAGAGACCAAAGGAGGCCCTGAGGCAGCAGGACCTTGAAGAACCCATGCAAAAGGAAAGGTGGAGGGAGCTGGACACTGTGGAACACATTAACAGAGCAGATGGTCAAAGGTAGCAGACTTACCGACTCCAGGTGTGTAAGGAGGTCTCTGCACAATCACTGGGTGACTACAAACCCACTAAGCAAAGCATTTTTTTGTATCCTCTGCTTTCAGCCAAGGCCCATCTGATATCAGCAGTGATATCCCTCATTCAATGGCTTCTTTTGAATCAAGCCTGAATTTCTCTGTTAACGTACTATTTCAGTCATTTCTAAATAATCCTCAGCAAGATTTTGTTTACATGTGACATTAAAGAGTCAATAATTTCCACACTCTGTAGGATCACCTTTCTTTGGGAATGGGAACAAATATGCATCTCTTCCAGCTGGTCAGTAGGTAGCTGTCTTCTCAATTTGTTGGCAGACTGGTGAGCTACTTCCTGGGCTGCATCTGCCTGCTGAAATAATTCAGCTGGTATCCCATCAACTCCTGTGCTGTATTTTTTGGCAATGCATTTAGTGTAGATTGGACTTGTTCCATCAGGATAATTGGTTCTTGACAATCTATCACTTCTTGAAATGGTTCAGTGTTGATCAATTCTTTTTGGTGCAGTGACTTTGTGTATGTCATTCATCTTCTTTTGATGCTTCCTGTATCATTCAAGATTTGCCCATAGACTCCTTCGGTACAGCAACTTGAAGCATAAAGATATTTACTTGTGTTTTACTGACCATGCAATGGCATATGATTATGTGAATTATAACAATATATAATAGTTATACAATAGTTATATAATAGTGAGACAAACACAACTCATACTTAGACTGAGAAACAGCAGTCTGAAACAGAACAGGGAAACACTATATGGTTTAAAGTCAAGAAAGTTATGCATCCAGGTTGTACCCTTTCTCCATACTTATTCAATCTGTATGCTGAGCAAATCATTCAATAATGATTTATTGAACTATATGAAGAAGAGTGGGTATTTTGATTGGAGGATGACTCATCAACAACCTATTATGCAGATGACACAACCTTCCTTTTAGGAAAAATGAACTTGAAGTACTTGGAAGACAAGCAAAGACTACAACTTTTAATATGGGTTTCAACTAAATATAAAAACCCCAGGCACACCATCAAAAATCCTCACCATTAGGGCAATAGAAAACATGATAATGGACATTGCCAAGGATTTAATTTTACTCAGATCCACAATCAACACCCATGGTGGCAGCAGTCAAGAAATTACAAAATGTACTGCACTGGAAAAATCTGCAGTCAGACCTCTCTAAAGTGCCAAAATGCAAGGATGTGGGTTTAAAGATTAAGGTGAACCTGTCTCAAGTCAGTTCAGTTGTCTCCTATACACACAAAATCTGAATAAGGAAGACAAGAGTGAAGAAGATTTGAAGCTTCTGAACTGTGGTGCTGAAGAGTACTGTATAGCCCATGAAGTGCCGAAAGAACAAAAGTTTTTCTTGGAGGAAGTGCAAGCAAAAGGCTTAGAGGCAAGGATGGTGAAACGTCTCATATACTTTGGTTATGTTGTCAGGAGAGGACAGTGCTTGGAAAAAGGCATCCTGGGAAAAGCAGAGGGTCAGAAAAAGAAAGGAAAACCCTCAACTAGATAGACTGACCAGTGACTACAGCAATGGGCTTAAGTGTGTCACAGATGATGTGGTTGGTGGAGGGCAAGGCAAGATTTCCGTCTGTTGCTCAGAGGGATGCTATGACTTGTAGTTGATTTGATGGCACCTAACAATAAATTCACCAAGTAGAGACTTCAGTGGCCACACATGACAAAGCTTAGAGATGCTACAGAATTAGTTCAAGGTCACTAAACAATCACAATAAGCAACAAGCCCCAGGGAGCCAAAATAACCTGGGTTCCAGAATTGCCACCTAAAGTGAAAATGATGTTGTTTGTTTGTTGTTTTTTTATTATTTTTGTGTGTGTGTACCATCAAATCGGATCTGACTGGTACAGGAGGAGATTGTCCCTCCTTATCCAGCAGAGCATCTGGTGGATTTGAACTGTACACCTCTGGGACTGCAGTACAGATTCTTGCCACTAGACCACCAGAGTTCCCTTGAAAATGATGTTTTTACAAAATAAAAGACACAGCAAAATACCAATGACAACAATATGAGCAAGCATAGGCCATGCACACAGAAATGAGGAGCAACCCACAGAGACTGCTTCTAAACAAGTAACCTGCTTGATTAGACAAAGGACTTAAAGATTAGCCATTAAAAACATCTTCCAAGAACTAAAGGAACTTATGAGAATGTTTCACCAAATAAAGACTAAGTATAAAAAGGAGAGATTATTAAAAAAACTAAATGGAAACTCTGCAGCTGAAAGAAAAAAAAAATCAACCTGCTAGAGGGACTCAGAGGCTTATTTACAGCTGCAGAAAAGAGACCCGGCAAGCCAGACGATGATCCAGGCTGAGGAGATGAAAGCACAGAATAAGGGAGGAAGACAGCTCAAAAGAGAAAACATGTACAGCAGCATGAAGCATACTGACATATGCATGATGAAGTTCTACAGAAGCTGGAAAGGGAAATGGAAAGAGAAAATATTTAGGAGCTGGGGAGGGAGCCTGAAAAATCCTCAAATTTGAGGAAAAATAGGATGCATATAAGAAGTCTGTTCAATCTCTGACTGCAAAACTTGGTAGAAATCTATTTCCTCCTCTTTGGTTCTGGTTGTTGGTGCATATATTTGAATGATGGTGGTATTCACTGGACTTCTTTGTATGTGTATGGATATCATCCTGTCACTCACAATACTGTATTTGAAGACAGATCTAGAAATGACTTTTTTAACTATGAAAGCAACCCCGTCTTTCCTCACCTTGTCTCCAGCATAGTAGATCATATAATTCTCTGACTCAAAATGACCCATGCCAGTCCATCTCATTTCCCCAATACCTAGTATGTCAATATTTATGCATTCCATTTCCTTCTTAACAATATAAAATTTTCCTACATTCATGGTTCTTACAGTCCATGTTCCAATCACAAGTGTCTGCTTACAGCTGTTCCTCCTTCTATTTGTTTCAGTACTTGAGGGCTCAGCCTCAGTTGCCATATCTGCTAGTCAAAGTGTGCTCTGTTGTACATGGGGTTTTCAAAGGTATTTGACTGTGTGTGGATCACAACAAATTATGGCTGACTCTGAGAAGAATGGGAATCCCAAAACACTTGATTATGCTTATGTGAAACTTACACTTGGACCAGGAGGCAGTCCTCAGAACAGAGCAAGGAAACACTTCATGGTTCAAAATTGGGAAGGGTGTACACCCAGGATGTGTCCTATCTCCCTATCTTCTCAATCTGTATGTGGAACAGATTATCCAGGACGCTGGGCTCAATGAGGAGAAATGTGGCATCAGGATTGGAGGAAGACTCATCAACAATCTTCATAATATAGATGACACAACCCTGCTTGCTGAAGCTGAGGAGGACCTGAAGCACTTGCTACAGGCCAAAGACTGCAGCCTTCAATATGAATTGAAATTCAACATCAAGAAAACAAAGATTCTCACCACTGGGCCAACTGGCAGCATCATGATGGATGATGAAGAGACTGAGACTGTTGACAGCTTCAGTTTGCTTGGCTCTACAATCAACACTCTCAGTAGCAGCAGCCAGGAAATTAAAAGACGCAATGCATTGGGAAAGTCTGCTGTCAGAGACCTCTCCAAGGTACTGAGGAGCAATCATGTCAGTCTGGAGACTAAGGTGTGCCTGATACAGGTCTTTGCAATTACTTACTGTGTCAGTGACTGGACAATGACTAGGGATGATAGGAGAGTGGATGCCTTTGAGCTCTGATGCTGGAGAAGAGCAATGACTATATCATGGACTGCTAGATGAATAAACAAGTTTGTCCTAGAGAGGGTAAAGC